CTTGCAGACACGGTAGGCATTTCAAAAAGTGCTGTACATCGCGTATTGACTGAAAATTTGGATATGAGAAAGCTGTGCGCACTTTCAGTCGACGATCGTCCAATACCGTTTCGTGGATTTTCTAAAAACATAGATGGCGCTATTAGTTACTGAGATATGGTCCAAGTTTAATTAAAATGAAACTCATTTGTCGCGCTGTGTATAAACAAGTTATCGAAGCTATTGAACACCGCTGGGGAAAGTGTGCCCAGCTGAACGGAGATTCTGTTGAAAAATAAAGACATTTCTCCCCAAATTTCTCGCTTCTTCTTTGCTAGATCGTGCACCTCTGTGACCATCCTCGTAATTCGTCATTCAGCCGCCGGAATGAAATGCTTATGCCGCGGCGCACGCACGCTTAGACCGCACCGGGAAGGCAGTGAAATCGAGGCGAAGCAATCAGCAGACACAACTTTGCAATGCAGAGAGGCACGGGAAGCAAGAGACACCGAGAGAGAAAGAGAGAGAGAGAGAGAGAGAGAGAGAGAGAGAGAGAGAGCAAGCAAGAACGAGAAAGCGAGAGAGAGAGAGAGAGAGAGAGTTAATCGCAGCAATTCCGGATCTCTCGTCAGACAAGAGCGTTTAGCTGGGAGCAGGGAGGGCGAGGGGGGACGGGAGCATGTACATATCGGTGCGGGAAGAGAGTTAATGCCGTTTAATCCGGGGACAAAGGCAGGCCAACATTTCCGTGGGGGTGGTCGATCGGTCATCCGAAATGCTCGCGTGTAGAGATGCCCCGATAATCGTACCGAAAGCTCGACGTGTCCCGGCTCCCGAGTATATTCGTCCGAGGAGAACGAGGCCCGGACGCCGGGAGAAATCCGGCGGGCGGTAGCGAGCGGAGGGGAAAGGGAGCGGAAACGTCGCCGGAAGACCGGGGCTTTATCCGCGAATCGCACGACGGAAGAGATAGGGAATTCTAAGTAATGTACTGGCCCGGGGTCCGGCGTGTACGCGCGGTCACGCTACGTTAAACACGGCTCAGTCACGAGACACAAATATTTGCTCGTTGTTACGGCAGGTGGTGCAGCGTTTAGAGCCCTCCGCCGCCCCCCTCGCCGCCCTCGGCAACGAGAAACACACGAGGCTCTCTCGTACGGCCGCTCTCTCTTACTTAATATTCGCGGCCCGCGCCCGCCCGGCCAAATCAGATTTTCGGCGGATGCTTTCCCTGCTTCGCTTCCCCTCTTCCACCGCGACACTCCTCTTCCGATTGATTCTGTTCTCTCTCTCTCTCTCTCTCTCGATCTCACTCGCTCTCTCGCTCTCCATCGCGCTATCTTTACGTGCCGTCGGACGATCGACGGCCCTGATTGTCCCCTGGTTAGCCGACCGAGCGATGAGGGACCGATACGAAACTGCGTATGTGTCGTACGAGGGCTCCCGTTGCGCAGCTACGAAGTCGAGTGGAATATGCCGGTCTATGGCTAGACGGGACGCACGCGTCGTCAACCCTCGCCGGAATGGATTGCAGATTCCCCGATTAAACGATAAGAACGGAACGCTGCGGATTGCGCCGGGCCAGAGAGCGGTATTTCGGCGGCAAGTAGATTCGGATGGTCTTGGTCGGACACGCGAACGCTTTGATAGAGATTCGGTGAAACGATATCGTCCTTCCGGAGAATTTGAATTTTACTCTGTACGGTTGTTCGAACGTGGTTAGTTTGATTCTTGTTCCGGCAGGATAAGCGTTTTCTGGTGTATAAATAGATTGTTGCGGGCAGGAGTCACAGCGTATTTAGACATTTCGTATGTGTAGAGGTTTTTGTAGCATGGACGAATGGAATTTGCTGTTTTTGAGGGATGTGTATAGGGTGGTGATTATCGGAAGTTTTTAATTGGTATCGGAGTCAGGCTTAGGCTTTTTGTAGGGTGACTTAACGCTTTGTCCTACAATTACGTCTGAGAGACGTGGTCAGATAATTCGACTAGAAATGATAATCATATTTGAGAGATGTGGTCAAAATATCGGGCCAGAAATGATTATCACGTTTGAGAGACGTGGTAGAGAATTGAGCAAGAAATGGTTATCACGTCTGAGAGACGTGGTCAAGAAATCGGGCTAGAAATGATTATCACGTCTGAGAGACGTGGTCAAGAAATCGGGCTAGAAATGATTATCACGTCTGAGAGATGTGGTCAAAAAATCGGGCCAGAAATGATTATCACGCCTGAAAAACATGATAAAAGATTGAGCCAGAAATGGTTATCACGTCACAGAGACGTTTTAAATAAATCGGTCCAGAAATGATTATCACGTCTAAGATACGTGGCCAAAATATCGGTCCAGAAATGATTATCACGTCTAAGATACGTGGCCAAAATATCGGTCCAGAAATGATTATCACGTCTAAGACACGTGGTAAAAAAATCGGAGTGAGAAATGAGAGTCGTGATGCGTCAGCCGGGCCAAATATAAACATGACTACTTAGGCTCGTGTTGGACTAGGTAATACGTGTTTTCTGGTCTTTTGTTTTTTCTTCATTTAATTTTTTATTAACAGTTAAATGAGGTGGCGCAGGAACCAGTTTGACGCGTGCTAATCACCGCCGCGTAAGACGTGTGCGATTGGCATAAGTTCACACGTTTCACGCATGCGTAAAAAGATTCGCCATGTGACCAATCTTATTATTGTTTCCAGTACACGATAACGTACATATAATGTGTTTCAATAATAAAACTTAAATCGTAGTATAAAGGGTTAAAATCAGCCAAGGAGTCACCATTTTCCGAGTGTAACTTGAGTTCTGGATAAAAATCGAATTTTATGCACGTCTGACAGAAACTGAATATATCGAATACAAAACAATGGAGCTATCTAAATAATTTAAAAATACTGTCCCATTATTTTCAACGTGACAAAGTAATTAATTAGAAAAAGAAAATATCCGCGTAGATTTTTTAATGTTGCAAGTAATGCGGACAATTTTGATTTTGTACAAAAATCCGCGCCGTCTATAGTTCTCCGACGAATGATTAGGTCACGCGTTTCCCGAGTAGTATAGACCCAGGTTGGTCGGACCGTGCCGAGTTTAAATTACGTTCGGGACGCGCGCGGATCGTGCAAACATTCGTCCATGAAGTGTTCGAACGAGGTGGAGCATCGAGCGAAAGAACCGGAAGTACTCTGGTCGGATTCATTCGGGTACCCCTTGGTGATTACCATCGTTCAAAGTTAACGCGTTAGGCGCGTGTAGACCGGGACGGCGATGAAGTTCCGCGGAATCAATCGGTCAACGTCAGACACAGAAACTGACATTAATCGGTCGCGCGGCAGAAAGGAACCGCAGTAAGGCTAAGGAACATTCATTTCCCCCGATCGCTGCTGGCAGAAAGTTAGTTTAACTGGAAGGTCCGGGGAAAGTTTTAATTGGTTTGCGAAGTTATTACAGCGGAATGAGACAGAAGACGCGCACTTGTTAGCCGGCGGAGGGAACATTGCCGATTCTCTATATAAGCGTCGCGGCAAGAGACTTTTCCATTCGTATTCCGGCTGTCATCGCGTTCGCGAACGCTCGCCGTTCAACCGATTCATCGATTCCGAAAGACAATCAACGACCCCGCGAACGGGTAACTTCGATCCCGGTCGGCGAGCGATGATTAATGTCCTCGGACTATATACACACCGCTTAGACACGGCCTCCCGGATGAATTTTCCAAAATTATCCTCTGCAAAATACGTTGCACCGAGTGCTGTTTAAAACTGCTAAAGCTTAATGACCAAAATATACGTATAATTGAACGGAATATATTTATTACCGCGGCAAGCTTGAAAATTAATACATAGGGCGATCCGTTTGAGTGGACTCGGTGGAATATTTCGCGAGGGATTAAAGTTATCAAAAATATGTTCCTACAAAAGTTGTTTGGTATAGAGGGGGACGTTAGATGATATAAACAATATTACTATAGGTGTAGTGGTGAGAGAGGTATTGAGGTCAAATTAATATTTTTAAATGGGACTCCGTATTTTTGTATGCATAATATAATAGCGTTTGTTGAGACGGATACAATGACCTACATCATGATATCATTTTTTTTAAAGGAAAAATGACATAAACGGAACGCATATGCGGCAGATGAACGCAAGTCCCTAGCTGAACTTTATGTAACTGTATACAGTTAGCCGCAAGTTAGGTAGAATTAAGCTAGCGACTTGCGTTTATCTGCCGCATATGCGTTTCATTTATGTCATTTTCACTACATCACCTGATATTATGTTGCAGGTCATTGTATTTGTCTCAACGGACGTTGTTACATTATGGATAAAAAAATGTGAGGTCCTATTTAAAAATATTAATTTTACTTCAATATCTCCCCCACCACTAGACTTATAGGAATATTGTTTATACCATCTAACGCCCCCTTTTATACCAAATAACTTTTGTAGGAACATATTTTTCATAACTTTAATCCCTCGCGAAATACTGTGCATACCATGTAAACTATATGTTACTTGCTCAGTCTTTCGTTTTTCATAGAATAACAAAAATTGTTCTCTTTTCTTTTATTCCTGCCACAATCGCCGTGCGGGGAATTTAAAAAAATATAAAATACTTCAACAACGAAATAGAATTATATATATAATTCTATATATATATATATACGTATATACACAAAAATTTGTGTGACAATATATATATATACATATATATNATATATATATATTGTCACACAAATTTTTGTGTATATACGTATATATATATATATAGAATTATATATATAATTCTATTTCGTTGTTGAAGTATTTTATATTTTTTTAAATTTCCCGCACGGCGATTGTGGCAGGAATAAAAGAAAAGAGAACAATCATATATATAATATTTAAAAATTATTATATATATATAAAGAATGTGAAAAATTCAAAAGAAAAATTTGGCAATTAATGCGTTAAAGAAGAGGAGTTATCCGAGGCCGTGCCTATATACAGAAGATGCAAATTAAGGTCCGTGGCACTTACCTGTGTACCTGTAGATGGAGTTGACGCGCTGCACGTGTCGCGTCATCACCTCGATGCACGCTTCCTCGGACTTGTAATGATCGAAGAACGTGTGATCGGCCTGCAGGTACAGCATGCACGTGGTCTTTTTCGGGTCGACGGAGGTCCGTTTCCGGAGCACCCTCGAATACCTCGCTCTGTACAACCTGGCGGGGCAGAAAAGAAAAAAAAGAAAAATAAAACGGGCGGAAAAAAAGGAATTGTTATTCAACAATTCCGGGCAGGGGCTCGGACGCCGGTGTTTGATCAAGGGAACGGCGAAGCTTTCCACGGAGAACTGTTGACACGGTCAATTTAACGGGGCGTTTCACTTTATTCCGCTTCAACCGAATTTCCGCTGATACCGTGCGATTGCATATTTCAGTTTATTCCATTTCAGGAACACTCCGCGCGAAACCGTTCTGCTCTCTCGCCCCCTCCTCGCGGGTGGCGGCGCGCGCGCGGCCACCGGGCCGCGCGCGGTCCGCTCGAAATTAAATTTTTTTCGAATTAAACTCCGGACAGCTTCGGGCGCGAAATAACAAAATTTTTGGGGCTTCAAAGGCGGCCGCGCCGCGCCGGCACATCCAATTTAGATTTTTCGAGGCTTCGCGGTGTCAAACGGAAAAAATGGAGCGGCGGAGGGGGGGGGGGGCAGGCGAGCAGCAGAGAGAAAAAAGAGCGGAGTTTCCTCGTGGGGCGTCGACCTCGTCGATACAGGAACCGCGGCCGGACAACAAATCAAGGCACTTTGACAAGAGCCGACGGGAGAAACGGCTGATAAGGCTGGGCCGAGGCAACGTTCGATCGGACCGGCGATAACGGCGTTCGCGGTTGCTTTCGATTCTTGACGGATCCAACAGGACGCGCGCCGGTCAGATAACTCGATCGCTTCGCTCGTTCGTTCTCCGCTCGGAGAGAACGGGCGAGCGGCGCTCTTTAACCCTTTCGGTACGAGCGCCGGATATATTCGGCATCCATCTGGTCACCTGTGTGGCCGAGCGCCGGATATACAGGGCGTTCCAAAATTATGGTATTTCCGGGAAATGAGGGGTTCCCGAGATCATTTGAAGCAACTTTTTCCTTAGCGAAAATAGTCTACAAGGCTTCGTTCACGAGTTATCAACGAAAAACAGTGACCAATGAGAGGCGAGCTCGATTGGCGCGAGGCGGCCGAGCCAATCAGCGGATCTGGGCGTCGCGCGCTCGTTGGCTTGGCCGCCTCGCGCCAATCGAGCTCGCCTCTCATTGGTCACTGTTTTTCGTTGATAACTCGTGAACGAAGCCTTGTAGAACATTTTCGCTAAGGAAAAAGTTGCTACAAATCACCCAAGGAACCCCTCATTTCCCGGAAATACCATAATTTTAGGACACCCTGAATACCGGGATCCATCCGATGACCGGTATGGACAAGTGCCGAATACATCTGGAATTCATGTGAGCCACATTTCTGACATATTAGAAATTATTCTAATAAAGTCTTTTCTTACAAGGATTCCGAAAAAACAGCTACAGGTATAATCGTCGTTTGATCTGAATTGATTTACAAAATTTGAGGTTACATTTTTGTTCGAAACTTGTTCATAGATTTTAACATATTGCAGGACCTTTACAGAATGTTTACAGGAAACGAAAAATTTAGAAACGGATTAAGCACAGTTATTACTTAAGAAAACTAAACTATGCTATGTGCGCATTTTCGGCGCGGCACCCCGTACAGTGGGAGTGTCACGGCTGACAGCGCGCTCGTACCGAAAGGGTTAAAACGCGAAAAGATCGCCGAGATTCGCACGGCAAACGCTCCGGCCGAATCGGCGGCTCCGATAAGTAGCCGTCGCGTTTCTCTCTCGCCAGCCGCGCGCAACTTTCTTCCGAAGAGCCCGCCTGCCGAGGGCCTCGGCTCGAATATTTCATCGACCTGTTCAGCCGGATAAGGCAAATGGAACTAGAGTGGAAGCGCCAAACTGGCCGAGGAAGACGAAAGAACGAGCTTGCCGCGCCGCGGCGCGACGCCGGCGGAAAATGTCTGATCGCGAACGAACGACCGTGTAAAGCTTTTAGAGGCTCTAGAACCTTTTCTTTTTGAGAGCCTCCGACCGTACCGGCTCCGGAGAAAAGTTCAATTAATCCAGCGATAACCGGGCCGACGAGGATACGACGCCCTCGCGGATGCGATGAGCGGAACGGGATCATTCTGCTCGGACAAATTTTCTGCGCGGTTTCTCGTTCGGAACGAACGCGCGCGCGGAAATGGGATGTGTGATTGAACGCGTTTTACTGCTCGGACAAGTGAATCGGGTCTGTGTTCGGTCTGGGAGGAGAAGCAGCTTGATCTTTAGTCGGGCAAGGAGAGCAACTTGACGATTAGTCAGACACTAGAATCTGTTTAATATCAGATATTCAGACGAGAGGAACAACTAAACGTTTAGTTGGGCGATTAGGATAATACTGTGGGCATTAAATTTTGCATTTTCTCGGTGTCGCGGACAAGCATTCGAATTTAGGATGCTACAGTCGCGAGAATGCATTGTATTCAAAATTCGAATACGGTGTCATAAAGTAGAGATTCGAAGCTTAAGCGTTTCTGGAAATCGTGATTTCGCGATAGCTCTCGACGAAGTTGCAGCTGTTCCAATTTGGAATCTTTCCTTTTTTAAGCAGTTTGCGGGTGTACTCGCTAATATACTCGTCATGGAGAAGTGGCAGTATTTTGTGTCACGACGAGTATACTCGTCGCGTGGAAAAAGTAGCGACCACTAGCTATTTGAATTGTAATTTTAGTGAAAACGAAAACGTATTCTCAAATTTCAAGATATTTAGAATATTTTGAGGCGAATCCTACGCGAAGGTGTTTGCATTGTTATAAAAATAAGATTAGAAAAGAATCACGACGTTGGTGTTCGACGTGCAAAGTGCGATTATGTATCATTTCTTGCTTTGCCGAATGCCATTCTACAGCAGTAATTTGAACGTTTAACTTTTACAAGTATTTGATTTTTCCTGTATTTTTCGTTTATTATGTTATGTAGTATATGTCAATGTTAAGTGAACAAATAAATATTAGTAATAAAATTGTCAATTTTATAAAATAAAACTGTCTTTTTGATACAACATTTTAACGGCGACACTTGACAAATAACTTGAATCTTTTCTAGATGACAGTGGGACTGGTTTCCTAAACAATGATTATACTTCTTTTTTTTAAATTTTGCTATTGCTTGAAATGACAAAAGAAATAAGAAACTCATAGTTTTTAACTATCTTGTCTGAGCTTCTAACGAAAGTTTAAGCTGTAAACAATCGAAGACCGCGTGAATCGCAATTTTGTCCTAATTTTTAACACTTTCGACCAGTAACTCTCAATCTGCAGTTTCCACAATCTTTCAACACTTTCAGCTTGACTCTGCGCTACCCGAATTCGATGAAATTTCCAGTACACACATAAGTTACCAGGATCTACAAAACGCATTTTATTTAAATTTTGGTTACAGTCTAAGATGAAAAAGTTAAAAAAAAGCACAAGCTATTTCTTTTCTTTTGTCATTCCAAGTAAACGGCGAAATCGAAGAAAACGTATTACAATCGTCGTCTAATAAACCATCACTCTCTATCACCTAAAAACAAAATTCAAGTAATTTCAAGAAATTTGGAAAAAGTCACTCCATTCGAAAATCTGTGAACATACTTCCCGCGGCGAGCGCGCCATTGTCGCGACAGTCAAAGCGACGAAGATGTACCGAGTCTCGTCTCTGTTATTAAGAAAAATTCTGCCGCAAGATGTACAGAACAGTCTCTCCATCACGGATCCAAACAAACAAACGATGCAAAAGAAGTATCGTTTCTTGCGCGTGCAAGCGTGTTAGTACACAAACTCGAGCATAGAATCTGTATGGCGAAAGGTATTTCCTGCGGTATACGCGCGACAGAAGCCGGGGGGATTTCGTAAGTTTTTCCACGGCGCCGCGGTAGATTTTCCGGAGGGATTCAAATGTATCCGGACGACTGGGTTACGGCTCGGCCGGAGATCGATATACAATTTTACCTGTCGAGTAGCTCCAAATTGTGCGAGCTCGCCATGGGGTCTTTCTTCCTCGCGTCCTTCGGATAGAATCCCGGCTTCGGCCGGGACTTCCCCTCGTTCTGGTGTTGATAAAGCGGCCGCATTGTGTCCCCGAGATATCCACTCCACGTCCTGTTCGTCCTGCAAACGATTTTTCGCCGGTAAGCGTCCGGGAGACTACAGAGCCTCTCGGCCCAGTGAATCCTTCACGGTAGAGCTGATCAGCCTCGCAGGCCGCGCCTCGCCTCGCCTCGCCTCGCCTCGCGGATAAACGGAGAGAAATCGTTGCCGGTGCTGCGGCCGCAGATAAGGGCTGACATATGTCGAATAATACGTAACAGCCCGGCAACCAATTTACTTTCCTAATCTTTTTCAGCGCGAGCCCGGCCGCCTCTGCGTCGCCTGTCCCTCTCGCCATCCGAGGCTTCTGAACTCGCGAGATCCGTTTAACCGGCATTTTATACCGTTTCTCTGCAGCTACGGTTTTACGAGACTTTTATACACAACCGCGCGCAGCTAGCCGGTTTTTATAGGCTCTTTTCCCGGTGTTCATTTAATCCTTCGCTGGCCGCGTCGCGATCCCCGACGTCTGCGAGACAAGCATTTACAGAGCGTTCCGCGAGACACGAGACACGAACGGCCGTAAATAATTATTGGTTCGGCAACGAAGTAATTTCGTTTTGCATCGATAGACAGCGTTGTGTTTGCATTGTCATTCTTACTTTTGTTCGGGTTATCGCGTTTCTTTTGTCTTCAGCTTTGATTCGTGACACGTTTAGGTTACTATAGAAACAAATTCCGTGTAGTTTTGTTTTTACAGCTGTGACAGTTTAGTTAGTATAATTGATAATATAATATAATAATATATAAGTAATAATATAATTTATGGTTTTTTTCGACAAACTATTTTTAACACTTTGACCGCCACGCTGGAGTCACATGTTTCGCTCAGGGCGCCACGATAGTATTTTTATTATTTAAAGGTTATAGTGGCGAAATAATAATAAATTGGTGATACAAGACAATATTTTTACCCAATCGAGCGTTTATCTTATTGGTGGTCACGGGTGACCATGGCCTTGGTCACCGTGGCCTTCAGGTGGCCACAACAAAATATTTGTGTTCAAAATGTTGTATAACAAAATAGTTTGTGTTCTTTTGTTTCAACCGTTTCTGAGATATAAACATTTTTATTTGCTGATATCATGATTGACTTATTTACGGGGAAGTAAATAGACTCAGGCCACTTTCAAAATAAACGGCTTATATATGTATCGTGTTGGCAGGAATGTAATTTCGGTGATTCAATGTGAAATAAAACTCAATTTTTTTCTGTACAAGAATTATTTTCCATTCTGTAATGGATTAGCACATGATTCCAAATTCCGGATTCGCTGACAAACCCTGCTAAACAGTGTTACGCTATCCTCGATTTACACGCATTTGATCTTGGTGTAAATCGTGCTAATGTTGCAGCAAATGCGCGTAAATATAGCATAACACGAGTTGTATATGCATTCGATGCTTCATGTTGATCGTGAAACAACATCGTGAAAATTTAAATGTATGGTTCTTTGTTGAGTGCGAACGTACATAAAATCGGTCTCGATACTATTTCATCGATTTCTTTAACCCGAGAAAGATAACCTACGTCGCAGAGGCGCCTGCGAAGACTGTTGATTTTTGTTAATTTTTCATAGAGGTCTAGTGATTTAAGTTTAAAATTACTTAAAATATAAAAAAATATAATATAAATGCATTTTATTTTTACAATAATGCCAAACCTTTAAAATGACTAGATTAACTTAAATAAATATCCATTGTTAGTATAAAATTGACGCCTTAGAAAAGCATGCGCCTCTGAAGCGTATGGTTATCTTTTACGTACGTTGTCATATGGTTATCTTTCTAGGGTTAAACTAAATGTCTATGCAATAAACGGCTCATTTCTTGTACAGAAAAACTTGAGTTTTATGTCACATTGAAATACCGAAATTACTGTCTCCTGCCAACACCGATATTAGGTCGGCTCGCGAGCAGCTTCTGTCAGCGCAGCCGAGCGATCCTAGCTTCCCCGAATTCGTCAATTTCCTTTACTAGACGATTACCCGAGAATACTCGAGCGAATCCGCAAGTGGCCGGCAATGTTAGGGGCTGATTTTCGAAGGCGATGCGACGAGCCTGAACGAACGAATCGAATGTTCCCCGGGACGAGTCGCCAGCATTTGGAGCGGAATCGCCGAACGTCGCGCAGTGGTATAAAAGCTCGAAATCATGGTCAAAATAAGAAATAGTGACGGATTTATTTGAAAATTTGTATGCAAGGGTTTTCATGGTCGCCAATTACGAATCTGAATTTAAAAATTCCAGAAACGAAATGGCGGATCAAATATGGCGGAAGGGTTGTTGAAAAAATGATTTGATTTTAACAAAAATTGGTGAACATATATCTTCGGAAATCCTGATTTCGAATCTGAATTTAAAAATTCCAAACACGAAATAGCGGATCAAATATGGCGGAAGGGTTGTTGAAAAAATGATTTGATTTTAACAAAAATTGGTGAACATATATCTTCGGAAATCCTGATTTCGAATCTGAATTTAAAAATTCCAAACACGAAATAGCGGATCAAATATGGCGGAAGGGTTGTTGAAAAAATGATTTGATTTTAACAAAAATTGGTGAACATATATCTTCGGAAATCCTGATTTCGAATCTGAATTTAAAAATTCCAAACACGAAATAGCGGATCAAATATGGCGGAAGGGTTGTTGAAAAAATGATTTGATTTTAACAAAAATTGGTGAACATATATCTTCGGAAATCCTGATTTCGAATCTGAATTTAAAAATTCCAAACACGAAATAGCGGATCAAATATGGCGGAAGGGTTGTTGAAAAAATGATTTGATTTTAACAAAAATTGGTGAACATATATCTTCGGAAATCCTGATTACGAATCTGAATTTAAAAGTTCCAAAAACAAAACGGCGGATCAAATATGGCGGATGGGTTGTTGAAAAATTGGGAAATCAGGAAGGTTCCGTGTCTATGCGGAAAGGTCGATCGGCTACGAAGCCAAAGGTCCTGTATACAGTTCCCTTGTTTTTTCCCAAGATTCTACAGTAATATTTTTGACAATAAAATTTTCGGAACGACTTCAACGATTCAGATTGCTGACATCTCAAGGCAGAAAATAATTTTTTCATGGCTCGTGTCATATCATCGTTCATGTCGACCACAAATCCTTCTTGCTGCAATATTTTTTGCTTAAAATATTCTATTATCGAATTATTGTCACTATTTAAGTTTTCTTTAATAATAAGGAACACTTCTTTCCTAATTAGACAGTATCGACTGTCGCGAGATCCTGCAAATAAAAAACCAAAAATTGAAACATTTTTTTCAATCTAACAAATTTCATTTTTTTTCAAAATAATTTTCGACATTGCCTGATAAAGTGTTCTTTCTAACATCTCAAAACAATGTAAGCAATTTGGCACGATTTTTAGAAAGTTATTCTGTCTTAGATACTCTCGCGAGACAGTTTTCCGTACGTTGACTAGCAAAAATGGTTGTAACTGAAAAAAGAGCAACGCGATGCAGCCAATTTTTTAAGCGCAGCTAGATGAAACTATAAACTATGGCTCCGGTAAGTTTGAAAGCAGGCCCTCATAGGCCGCAAAAGTTTCGACTATAACTTTACGGTAAATGCATTCCATTTGCTTTTATAATTTGAATCAACAATTTATCGATTTACCAATGTAACGGTTAACAATTCGTGAGATGTTAGCGGTACAAAATGTTGTACTTACTACCAGGAACAATATCCATTTCATACAATTGAAAAAAGACACTTCCACAAAAACGTACACGCTTTAAACGATTCACTTCGTACTGTCGCTCACGCTCGCGAGTAATGACTGCCCGAAAAACTCGAAATTCGAAGTGTACTTGCCATTCAGGTACAAAAGTATGGGTCATTTCGTTTTTCCCACCGCACGGACGCTATCCAATAACTAACCAATAATATATATATAACTAACCAATCCGTAAGTCAAAAACTCCCCAATGACAACTTCGATTTTTTCGATTTTGGCCATGATTTCAGGCTTCTATATCACTGCGCGTCGGCGCAATTTGTTTCGGATAAGGTCAGCGGAGAGAGCACTCGGGGCGTCACGTGGCAGTTCGAAACAGTGTCATTAGTCATTCGATAAATGTTATTAGTTCCGACGATGGCGGTCGCGCCCGGGATTCGGAAATTTCAGTTTCGCAGTCTGCCGGGACGCGCTTACACGTTAATCCAATCAGAGGCGAGGGAACAAAGTGGAGAAATCTTCCGCAGCACGTGCGGCGCCCGAGGGCGAGAGGGTGGGGGCGAACACGGGAATGACGAGCGGAAGCAAATTCCGGTCACGTGACGGCCATTCGAATCGCTTCAGCGAAAGTTTACGCGAGCAATGTCCAACTCGAGCGCGACCGAACTGTTTATCTCGACCGGGAGTAATTGGAACAACTGCTGTCGCGTCCTCTCTCCCTCTCCCTCTCCCTTCACCCTCCGTCGACCTCTCTCTCTCTCTCTCTCTCTCTCCGGCTTCCCAGGAGATGGACACCCGAAAACTCCGGCCGGTTACGCGGCGGTGACCGTTATCATTAATCGATGCCAAGAACCGTTCGAAATCGGGCCGCCGCGGACCGTGTTCTCTAATTGCGGCGGCGTGACGTCGCGCATGTCCCACGCGACAATCATCGGTTTGCCCCCCTCCGGCGGTCCCTTTGAACCGCTGGCGCAGTTGCCGTTGGCCGCTGCCACCGTTGCCTCGGTCCCCGCTAATTCTGTTAACTTCGAACGGCGACGTTACGCGATTAATAGACCGGAGTATCTGGTAAGCCGCTTTCCCTGAGCCCTCGGAACTATCGAGCCGGAAAGGGCGCCGCATAAAAATGGAAAGCGTGAACCCGACCCCGTCCCCGTCCCCTCCCCCGTTCTCCCCCTCCACTCGGTCACCATGGCCGCGCGGCCGGGTCTAGTGGCATTTGAAATTCTATTAAACCGGTCGATGCACGGCTACTGGTTCATATTAACTTCGGCTACCGGGGAATATTGAATGTATTACGGGGCAACAAGCTGATATTATACGGCCGACCCGACCGTCCTCGGTCGCCCGACTCGTGGCCCGACCCCGCGATACAAGTATCAATTCGGCTCCCTTATGTATAATTTCGCTCGGGCGACCCGCGACGGTGTCGCCCGTGCACCGTTGACCCCGTTTCGGCGCGGTCGCGTCGACGGCGACACCGGCGACCCTGTGGCAGAGTCGAGTGGAGGGGAGGTTATCGCTTGTCGGTTGGATAGAACAAGAGCGGGCCCGAGTCGGGCCGCGGAACCGGTCTGCCGCGTATCGGACCGATGGAGACGTTCGCGGCGTACAGTGGGCCGGATCGAAGAGTTTAGTGACTTTTTGACAAACATCTAATTTTCTCATATCGATGACCAGTCAGTTTTTATTGCTTGTTAAATGTCCATTATCCTCGAAATTGGAAATATGAATAAAAATGATCGTAAATTGTAATATTGGGTTGGCAACTAAGTAATTGCTGATTTGTTCAATGAAATAAAAAATTTCTTTTTACTTGGAATGAAGTTTAATCTGTAATGTGTATTTTCCATTTTGTTCGATGACCTTTTGCCATCTCTCTGACAACTTGAAAATTCCACGCTCGTAAAAAGTCTGATCCTTTTCGGCCAAAAACTGAGTTAAGTGAGATTTTACAGCGTAAACTGCGTAAACTGCGATTTTCACGATCTTTAATTGCTTGTTGCTCATAACAATGTCAACCGATTTCGATGAAATTTTCAGAATTTAAATTTTCGTTCCAGGTTCGACTGAAGAAGTTGAAAAACAAGTGTTCCTTATCTTCTGTTGTCATTTTATGTAATAACAACATTTAGGAAAGATATGCTAATCGTTGTACTGTAAATTAAACCCTTTAACACTTAAAAAAGAGATTCAAGTCAATTAGATCAGTTTGAGAAAAGATATTACATTTTGAAAGGTGGACGAATACTTTTTGCCAGGAGTTGTATATTCCTATGTATATATTCCTATAATTAATAGATAATAGAAATATACAAATATAGTTGTGTTTGTTGGTTTTCGTTTAAATATCATTAAAAGTGTAGAAGTTATTTTGAATTTATAAATATTCGCAGCACCGCGGATGGTCTCCTTGAAATGAATCACCCTGTATATTTAAAAAGCACTTAACGAAATATTATGTCTGTGTATTTGTATATTAGAAATAATAGAAAATAGAAATATAGAAATACGATGTTTTGTTAAATTTTGTTTAGATATCAATAACATTATATTTGTATATTTATATGTTAGAAATAATAAAAACTAGAAATATAGAAATACGATGATTTGTTAAGTTTTCGTTTAGATATGAGTAACAATGTAAAAGTTACTTTGAGTCTTCAAGGTGTCCCAAAATTATGGTATTACCAGCAAATAAAGGATTCCTGACGTCATTTCAAGTAACTGTTTCCTCAGCGAAAATGCAATCCGCGGCTTCGTTTGCGAGTTATTGACGAAAAACGGTGACCAATAAGAAATCACATACGGTTGACGCCCCGCCCTCGCAGCCACTGCCGCTGCGCCAGTCATTCGGCGCGACGCGGCATTGGCTGCAAGTGCAGAGCGCCGGCCTCACTCGCGCTCCGATTGGTCACCGTTTTTCGTTAATAACTCGTAAACGAAGCCGCGGATCGCATTTTCGCTAAGGAGGAAGTCACTCGAAATGACCTCAGGAACACCTCTTCCCGCTTCTACAATAATTTCGCGACACCCTGTAAAACGATGGAAGCAAGATAATCGCGTTAAAAAAAAGTATCGCCGCGATGAATAACGTGGATCGTAGATTCTGTTTTTAAGACTGGAAGGGGAAGGTGTCTGTTCTCGATCAGGCAAGTAGAGCAAGGCGTTCTCAGCGCGTCCGAGTAAAATAAGAAGCACAGTGAATCGAACTGGAGAACAGCAGCGCGCGATCTTAAAATCGCGAGTTTATTGGTGCTACGATCAAATTGTATCATTTCTAATTCAGCGAGTGATAAGACCAAGGTTCCCGCAGACCGAAATGAAGCCTGCACTGGGACACGTGTGCAATCGAGTGGTATTGCACTGTATCCGATCAGACGGCGCCAAGAATACACGGAGAATTCCCGAAGAACCGCGTCTCGAGCTGCATAAACGAACGAAGGGGGAGGCTTCCCGCCTCCAGAAATCGACCGCTAATTTTCTCCGGATAATCCGAGCTCGCGAGAACGAAATCGTACGATTATAATACTTGAAAAAGTATGTTGTTTCAGTCGAAACTCACCTGAGTTCGTTGAGGGTGCTCTCGCGCAGCCGTTCGCTGGCGCAGGTGTAATCGTTCCGAAGGGGTTGGTCGACGTCCACGGCTCGGTAGGCGATCGAATGGTGTTGCATGGCGTCCGTGGTGTCCGGCTCGTCCTCGTCGAGCTTACGGCACACGAGCGGAGCGTATCTGCTGACCGGCTCGATGTAAATCTCGTCCGAGGCCGTAAAGATCGTGCCGTCGAACAGACCGTCCTCGGTCACGATACCGTGCACCGACGAGCTCTCGTCGTCTGGAAACCATAAATCGACCGTGTTACTTTCTAAACATCCGGCGACCAATCCCGAGGCTCGCGCGAACCCGTTGCGCGTCGCCGAGAACGCGATTTTTAATTGTTACGTTGAAATACGACGACAACGATGACTACTATTAATGCTTAGCTAACCGAATGAGGATATCTCTCTGTTTTAAATTCGGTCGATTTATGACTGTACAGGGAAATCTCCCGTTTCTAATTTCTATAAATGAAAAATGATTTCTTCATTTTATTAACCCTTTGCACTCGGATGTCGTTAAGCCCGTTGCGCGTCGCCGAGAATGCGATTTTTAATTATTACGTTGAAATACGACGACGATGACGACTATTAACGCTTAGCCAACCGAATGAGGATATCTCTCTGTTTTAAATTCGGTCGATTCATGACTGTACGCGGAAATCTCCCGTTTCTAATTTCTATAAATGAAAAATGATTTCTTCATTTTATTAACCCTTTGTACTCGGATGTCGCGGATACAGCGACACAATGTATTTATGTCAAAGTGGCATCTCTTTTTAATTATTATTTTCCTCTATACTGTAATGTCATCGCGTAAAATGCATAACTAAGAATACTAATATAATAGTATTTATAGTAGTAGTAATGTAGTATAATAGTATTTATAGTAGTAGTAATGTAGTATAATAGTATTTATAGTAGTAGTAATGTAGTATAATAGTATTTATAGTAGTAGTAATAATTAAAAACTTTTATTTATCAGTTCCTTTAGAATTTTCGAACAGAGAGAGAGAGAGAGAGAGAGAGAGAGAGAGAGAGAGAGAGAGAGAGAGAGAGAGAGTATAATGATCTTTTTTTCTCCGTTCGACTCTGTACAATGAAATCTCAATGTTTGCAAGTTCCCAGTGCAAAGGGTTAAGAGATTTGCAAGAGAATTAGAATGTTGACGAAGTAGTTCATACCGTATATGGCATGTGAGGTTTGTCTGGCAATTTTTATTTGATTGAATGAAATATCTTAATTTTATGAAATATTTCAGGTTTTTGCAGGTCGCCTGCAAGTAATCTTTAAGACCCTGGTAGAAAACGTGAATGATTTAAGGACAAGAATTACGATCGTATGAAGTTCAATAGCGGACGAAATGTTAAAAATTGTTGCGACACAATCGTTTTTAAAACGTGTATTTTCACATTTCATTTAATTACAAATGTGTGTTTTCACATTTCATTTATTTACAAATATGTATTTTCACACTTCATTTATTTACAAATACGTATTTTCACATTTTATTTATTTACAAATATGTATTTTCACATTTCATTTATTTACAAATGTGTATTTTCAATGATGGTGGACACGTGGAAGGATACAAAATTAATAGTAAATGTAAATAAACATTTACTAGCAAATGAAAGTAAAGTACAATTACTAGTAAATGAAAATGATGAATCGATAATTTGTGGCATTAGCAATAATCCTGAATCCTTGTTTATAGTATCATAATTGCAGTAACATGATACAAACGCAACCGACGCGGCTCAGCAGCGGCTGCTGGATGTTGATTGTCGACAAATGCAGGGTGTAAACATAGACTAACGATTTACCATCATCGAATTCAGAGTAATATCATATAACACCTCTTTGGATTTCTCTCAGTGCCTGCTGTTAATTCGCGAAGAAAAAAATGTAGCCTTCCATTTCAGAAAATTAGGTTGACCTTCAGATCTCCTGCACTACTCTACTCACATGAAAACAATTAATACTACATAATGTAGTACGTTCTACCAAACAACTTTTGTAGCAACATTTTTTTAATAACTATAACTGCTTCCGAGATATCTTGCTGTACTCGCTTAAATAGGACACCCTGTAGAAGTTGTAAATTTGGAGTTCTAAATAGGATGCTTCATTGGCGTCCACGATTCTAATCGAATTCGCTAAACTTACACTTTTATTAATAAATATAAAAATTTGTTAATATAAATATAATATATTTATATTATAATGTAATTATAATAATAATATAATAATAACATAATAATAATATAATATTTATATTGTAATATAATTATAATAATAATATAATATTTTTATTATAATATAATATATTTATTAATATAAATATAAATTTATTAATATTGCAATTATATATAATCGTAATATAATTACGATTAAACTTCTGCATCGTGCGAGATCTTCGATATTTTTTAATAACTCGGGTGTATTATTTAACTGCTTCCTTTGTATATTAATCCCTTGTGACTGTAATAACGGGTCAGACTCGTGCGCAAGATTTCATACGCAATGTACTAAATACGAACGTTATTCGTTTCTCCTGAATTGGAACAAAATTTGCTATTTCAATTGTCGAGGTCTTGGAATGAAAGTAAATGGAGAGATGCAAGAAATAAAAATTGTCTCGTCGGATCAGAGATATTATTAAGGACAAACAAAGTGCTAAAAGATGTAACTAGATTGCGGATTTTATGGAATTTTATAACATAATTTCCATTTATGGAAAACGAAATGAATAGATGAAATACGAAATAGCAGATACAATAGAATTTCAAGGTATTATAGTGTTACCGTCGACTCGTTAGAATGATTGAGAAAATAAATAAATGTCTATGTAATAAATAAATGTCTTGTAATATCAAGAGATATTCGAGATATTCTGTTGCACTCGCTTAAACAGGACACCCTGTAGACACACAGTGGTGTTCACAAAAATGTTGGTACACCTTTTAAAACGCAATCATTTTTTCAAAACTCAACTAAATGACTTGAATTATGTTTTAGATGATAGAGGGACTAGTTTAGTACACGATGAGTAAAAAGCTTTTCTTTTTTAAATTTTACTATTACTTGGAATGAAAAGAAAAAATTAAAAACCTTCGTTTTTAACATAAAAAAGCTGAGCTTATAATGAAAATTTAAAAAATGTTAAAAATGTTAAAAATTTTATCGAAATAGATTATCGTTGTTACGAGTTAGAACATATTAACCCTTTGCACTCGAACCCATTTTAACTGTAAATCTAAAATAATTTTTCTGGCTTGTATTATTTTCATTTTACACGGCAAAGTATATTTTATGCGTACGGAATTGAGTCTTGCGATTCATGCAACAGCTACACTTTCAGTAATGTTTAAAATCTAAGTTTTGATAATATAAAAATAATCTTAGAACGTGATATAACAATTTTAGTGGTGCCTCAGAGTCAACACTCGAGTGCGAAGGATTTAAATATCACAAAATCGCAGTTTTGTCACGATTTCGACGAAAAACTGTAAGAAATCTGCAGTTTTTAAAATATTTCAACGCCTGCAGCTCGATTCAAAAAGGCATTTTTCAAATTTTCGCTATAGGCCTAGATTAAAAAGTTAAAAAACGAGGATTTTTAATTTTACTTTTTCGTTCCAAGTAATAGTAAAATTTAAAAATAAGCTTTTTAGTCATCGCCTACTAAACCAGTTCCTCTATCATAAAAAAAAAAGAAATCAAGTCATTCAATTGAGTTTTGAAAAAGTCATTGCATTATAAAAGGTGTACGAACACTTTTGCGGCCCACTGTATATCACGAAAACTCAGAGTGTCTAATCAATTATTCGCACGTATTACCAAAGTCCAGAGTGTCCATTCAATTATTCACACGTATTACTAAAGTCCACAGAATCTGATCAATTATTGACTTGCACTGTTTAAGTACCAAGTGTATAACCAATTACCGACTTGTTCTACTTAAATCAGTATCCACCCAAATGCTCTGTAACAATCATATTAATTTATTTATTTACTAATAAACAGGCATAGTTGCCTGTAGTATAATTACTAATAGTAGTATAATTACATAGAATTCATAACAAAGAACTATAGTACAGACAGAAATGCATAATAGAGACAGAATAAAAGTATAAATTATGAGTTAGAATCATTATAATCATTTGTCGGATGCTCGGAATAAATAAATAAATAAATAAATAAATTTAATTTAAAAATTAAGCTTCACTCGTTCTCTGCATATTAGATTAGAAAACAGTGATTAAAAAATTTCGATTCTCATCAGTTATTCCCGGCGAATAAAACCTGTCGACTTTTCGGATGCTCGGAATAAATAAATAAATAAATAAATAAATTTAATTCAAAAATTAAGCTTCACTCGTTCTCTGCATATTAGATTAGAAAACAGTAATTAAAAAATTTCGATTCTCATCAGTTATTCCCGTCGAATAAAACCGTGAATTACATAAACTTAATTTTATTAAATAAAACCGCAGCCGTGATCTCGCTTCGAAGAGGAGATCATAGCACATAGAATTAATAACAAAGAACTATAGTACAGACAGAAATGCATAATAGAGACAGAATAAAAGTATAAATTATGAGTTAGAATCATTATAATCATTTGTCGGATGCTCGGAATAAATAAATAAATAAATAAATAAATTTAATTTAAAAATTAAGCTTCACTCGTTCTCTGCATATTAGATTAGAAAACAGTGATTAAAAAATTTCGATTCTCATCAGCTATTCCCGTCGAATAAAACCGTGAATTACATAAACTTAATTTTATTAAATGAAACCGCAGCCGTGATCTCGCTTCGAAGAGGAGATTATAGTACATAGAATTAATAACAAAGAACTATAGTACAGACAGAAATGCATAATAGAGACAGAATAAAAGTATAAATTATGAGTTAGAATCATTATAATCATTTGTCGGATGCTCGGAATAAATAAATAAATAAATAAATAAATTTAATTTAAAAATTAAGCTTCACTCGTTCTCTGCATATTAGATTAGAAAACAGTGATTAAAAAATTTCGATTCTCATCAGCTATTCCCGTCGAATAAAACCGTGAATTACATAAACTTAATTTTATTAAATGAAACCGCAACAGTGATCTCGCTTCGAAGAGGAGATCACGCAGGAAGAAGACCCCGTACGCGACAAGACAACGACGAGACCGTCCTCGAGAGCCCGTGATTCTTGCCACGATCCCCGCGATCCTCGAT